GCTCCCTCACGGGGAGTAATCAACACGATTGCAGGTGGTTTTGCTGGAGGAGGCGCCAGCAACTCAGCCTGGAAAAGACACTTGCGGAACATCAACTGCGTCCACTCTACCACCTCGACCTCGCACCTAAGTTCGCCGCCGATCTCCTTCTCCGATGAAGATTACGCCGGCGTCAGCCCTAACCAAGATGACCCCATGGTCATTGTTGTGGAGATAGCCAACTGGAAAGTACAGAAAACACTCATTGACAAGGGAAGCTCGACTGGCATCCTGTACTAGCCGACTTTCCTCAAACTAGACGTCCCCCACTCTCTCATTCAACCTCACACGGAGCCCCTAGTCGGCTTCGCGCGAGAACGAGTTCACACTCGGGGATACGTAGACTTGCTGACAACTTTTGGAACGCCACCAGATACAAGGCGGGTCAAGGTACGGTACCTCCTCGTGGAAGTTATTAAAAATAAGTTAGTAATAAAACATGGAATAAAACCTAATGCAAAACTTACACCAGACTTCTCTCTTCTCATAATTGATTTTAGAGTTAAAATCCAGTTTGAGAAGGTTTGATCCGCCCCAACGTATATCAAACACAAATTCAAATTTTGTTAACTTAGGATCTGCTTGGCTCATAGAGAATAAATACCTGATAGAGCAACTAGATCCGTGAGGCTGAGGCCATGTGAAGCAAACATTTGGTTCAGCTGTGTTAGTTTGAATTCAGCATGAGGTAGATGGTGTCTAACACTGGCTTTTGTAGAGATTCTCCCATCTAGCCTTCCCAACTCTACTGCATAAGATGGTCCTCCTGTCTGAAGTAAAGTGAATGTTCATTTGGTATTCAGCTAAATTGTACAAGGAATTAAAATGTTGCATATATTTTCTACATAGCCAAAATAAAATATTCTTATAAAGACAAATCTGTTAAACCTTCAAAAAAAAAAATCTAAAAAGGTTTTTTTACTGCATAGTTATGTTTACTTACTTCAGTGGATAATGCCAGTTAAGTATTTGTTTTTGAGCATAACTGTACATCTAATGATAATGGGTACATTTCTTTTAGCTGATAGCATGCATGCCTTTGATGTATGGCTATTATCTCTTATTATGTATTTCACTTAAATAGAGTGAAAACATGTAGAAGAACATGGTTATGCAGCAAAAATGAAATTACTGTGTTCTCCCATTTTCATTTTATCTCTTTATCGTTTCTATGCTTAACGGTTTTGTTGCTATTGTATGTTTCAACAAAATCAAAAGAAATATGATACTCTATGGAGGATGCAAGGATCCTAATCTCCTAGTAATACTTCTCTAATTCTACCCAAAACAACAAAACAAAAGTCTTACGCAACTAGGTGAAGTCAGTTATATGGATTACACGACACCATTTAAAATCGGATAAAGACCAAATCTCAAAGAGATATTATCTACTATAAGACCCCTCTAAACAAATTTCTTTGTACTTTTCTTAGTCTCTGACTCCTCCTTTTCAGAGTACTACAAACCATGCTAATTTATTGCCCATAATGGTGCCTTCAGGTATTTATTTATACATGTCCAAATCACCTTAACCGATGAGTTGGTATGAGTTGGTATGTAAAGTTCATTTAGTCTATTTTGTTTGAAAAAATTGAAAAAAATTGTTTGTATAATTATTTTTGGTATGGTGAAAAATGTTAGGAAGTGCAATATGGACGACGTTATAGTAGAGGAGATATGTATCCTATTGCTCATAAAAAGAAGGATAGATCATTTGTGAACGAAGATGCTAGACAAAAATATGTGAGTACAATATATTATTTGTAATTTTCAATTACCATTTGCTTTTCACTCATATAAGTAATCTTTTACTATTTATCTATGTATTCAACATTATATGTAGGAACAATTGCATAATGAAATTCAGGAGACTTCTTCTGAGAATGAGGCATTCTTGAAAGTGTTTGGAAAGGAGCATCCAGGATATGTTCGAGGCATGGGACTTGGGGTTACTCCAACTCAAATCATTGGATCATATTCTTCCTCTACGAGGTCTGGATCTTCATCAGATGCGGCCACGATAGCAGAATTGCGATCTGAAGTTGAAGCACTTAAGGCACGAGTTGGTGAAGTTGATGTTTTGAAGGAACAATTAGCTTTCCTTATGCAAATTGTTAAAGGAAATCTTTTAAATAGGACAAAATTACTATTGATGTTATTATCCAATCAGAATTGGAGTTTCACCTTAGTAACATGCATAATTAAAGATAACATTAAATGTAAGTGTATATTAAAGAAGTTGAAAATTCAATTATGATTAGAGAATAACACAACTTGTAGATATGGCATTGTATGCAAGTTTTTTCCTTTTTATTATGCAGTGAAATTCATGTGAATCTCATAGTGGATTTCACTCTATATTATTTAGAAGGATTCACTGGATTTCACCTTGTGCTGAAAAGAGTATATCTCACAATGTGATGCTCAATATATATATATACAAGGTCCAAATCCATCTAGAATCAGAGTGTACAAAATATATCCAGCAAATGCTAACTAAGTAGCTAAATACATCAAAAGAATAAAGCTTCATCTGCCCGCTGCAGACCTTCTTCAGCAAAACACCAACCTAACCCTGCCCTACTCCCAAACATAGTATGATCATCGCAGTCCAAACCACATGGAACAACAAAGGGTAAGCTAGTGAAAAGAATCAGCATACATATGTGAAATATGAAGGATAAACAACTACAACTATCAGCACATCAACCAGCTCTTTTGGACACACTTGTTGGAGCTGTTTTGCATAAGCAGGATTAAGTGTATGATCAATACTTTTCCTGCTTTTGAAGTTGTAAATGCGTTTGGAGAACTGGCTGCAGTGAGAGAACCCAATAGTATGTGCTCCTGCAATCACTCATTTCAATCTAGATTTAGAGTTTTTGGGGATAAGGAAACCAGATGGTCTAATATTTGACAACTTTATTAAGTGTCTGTTTAGATAAATTTCTCAACAAGTACATATAGGAGAAGGAAATAGAAGGAAAAAATGAAACAAATTCCTTCGTAAGTTAAAATTAGCTTGTGTGTGTTCATATAGCAATTTACAAACTTATTCAGCTAAAAGCGAGTTTCATGTGAAGTGCTTATGTTTGGTAACTTTTATCTTAAAAATAAGTTAGTAATAAAACATGGCATAAAACCTAATGCAAAACTTACACCAGACTTCTCTCTTCTCATAATTGATTTTAGAGTTAAAATCCAGTTTGAGACTTGATGCCAACATAAGACTATGTTGAAAATTGCGTACATATAAGACAAGTCCTCAAGATACAATTCACAAAAAGAAAAACAACTACGCTATTACAAAGGCAACCTAGGCAGAGGCATTCTCACTAGAGCTGTCGTTGACATCATCCTCCTGAACCAGCCTCCCAAAGCGAACCACCTTCTCCACATGCATGGAGGAGAAGTCAAACCCGGGAGCAAGGAGCCTTGCCTGACGAACAGCCTTTTGAAAACCCCTCTTGTGCTCGGCCACAACGGAGCGTTCGACCTCCGCGAGCCTCTCTTCCACGGCCGCCTTCCCTCTCGCCAACTCTGCAAGCTCCGCCCTCAAGGAAGCAATCTCGTCTTCTCGGCCACCAAGAACGACCTCATTGCGGAGGCGCTCCTCGGCCGCCGCCGCCAATTCCCCCTTTAGAGAAGAGACGACGTCCTCCAGAGCCCGCACTTGACCACGAGAGGACGTCACCTCATCCTCCAAGGACCGGACGCGGCCTCGGGAGAAGGCAGCGAGCTGCTGCAGCTCCCCCACCTGAGTAGCATAAGCCTCATTAGACCGCAAAGCGATCTCCAAAGACTTCTGCACCCTGGCAAGATCGCCATGCACAGACCGAAGCTCAGCCTCTTGCCGCTTAGCCTCGTCGACGGAGGCACTGAGAACTTTATTCTCCTCCCTCAGGATCTTGCTCGCCTCCTTCCAAGGATGAAGTCGGCCCCTCAACCTGGCCAAATCCTCTTGCTGCTTAGCCAGGTCCTCCCACTGCTGCTTCCACTTAGGCTTCCAATGGTCCATTATGCTCATAACCCTCTGCAGCATGACCTGGGCAGCATCAAAACTATATTCAAGACTGACCTCGTCTATCAATCCTTGGTCGTTGGAGCCCAATGAACCCTGAGGAAAGAACTTCTCAACGGTCACCCCCGCACTCCACAGCGAGTTCATGTCGGAGGAAGCACTCACGTGATCCAGCCGCACCTTGTCCAAACCCTTCCCGAAGCGATGCGCCAGATAATGGGTCCGGGAAGGCCCCTGCGACGAACCCGCCGGCGGCGCCAAAGCTACAGCAGAGATAATGTTGCATATATTTTCTACATAGCCAAAATAAAATATTCTTATAAAGACAAATCTGTTAAACCTTCAAAAACAAAAAAGCTAAAAAGGTTTTTTCACTGCATAGTTATGTTTACTTACTTCAGTGGATAATCCCAGTTAAGTATTTGTTTTTGAGCATAATTGTACATCTAATGATAATGGGTACATTTCTTTTAGCTGATAGCATGCATGCCTTTGATGTATGGCTATTATCTCTTATTATGTATTTCACTTAAATAGAGTGAAAACATGTAGAAGAACATGGTTATGCAGCAAAAATGAAATTACTGTGTTCTCCCATTTTCATTTTATCTCTTTATCGTTTCTATGCTTAACGGTTTTGTTGCTATTGTATGTTTCAACAAAATCAAAAGAAACATGAGTTCTCTAATTCTACTACCTTTGTTACTTATTATTTTGTTGCTACAATTGCAGTTACATAGTACAGACAGAACCTCGTCAAGGCTTTCTTCTAATCCTGGTTTTGTTGGTCCTTCCCGTGGATCTATTTCTACTGGTATATTTCTATCACTTGTGTTTCTACAGTTACATAGCTTGTTGCTTTGCATAAAGACATAAATTTATGCTTTCTATTTCTGAAAATATGTTGTGGTCCTTTGATATGTGCATCTGGTGTAGGGTTTGGATCATTTTGTTTTAGTTGTTATACCTCAATTTTGTGATAATTTTACACTGCCAGGCTTGATAAGTTAAAATGAAACAGATTCCTTCATAAGTTAAAATTAGCTTGTGTGTGTTCATATAGCAATTTACAAACTTGATTCAGCTAAAAGCGAGTTTCATGTGAAGTGCTTATGTTTGGTAACTTTTATATTAAAAATAAGTTAGTAATAAAACATGGAATAAAACCTAATGCAAAACTTACACCAGACTTCTCTCTTCTCATAATTGATTTTAGAGTTAAAATCCAGTTTGAGAAGGTTTGATCCGCCCCAACGTATATCAAACACAAATTCAAATTTTGTTAACTTAGGATCTGCTTGGCTCATAGAGAATAAATACCTGATAGAGCAACTAGATCCGTGAGGCTGAGGCCATGTGAAGCAAACATTTGGTTCAGCTGTGTTAGTTTGAATTCAGCATGAGGTAGATGGTGTCTAACACTGGCTTTTGTAGAGATTCTCCCATCTAGCCTTCCCAACTCTACTGCATAAGATGGTCCTCCTGTCTGAAGCAAAGTGAATGTTCATTTGGTATTCAGCTAAATTGTACAAGGAATTAAAATGTTGCATATATTTTCTACATAGCCAAAATAAAATATTCTTATAAATACAAATCTGTTAAACCTTCAAAAAAAAAAATCTAAAAAGGTTTTTTTACTGCATAGTTATGTTTACTTACTTCAGTGGATAATGCCAGTTAAGTATTTGTTTTTGAGCATAACTGTACATCTAATGATAATGGGTACATTTCTTTTAGCTGATAGCATGCATGCCTTTGATGTATGGCTATTATCTCTTATTATGTATTTCACTTAAATAGAATGAAAACATGTAGAAGAACATGGTTATGCAGCAAAAATGAAATTACTCTGTTCTCCCATTTTCATTTTATCTCTTTATCGTTTCTATGATTAACGGTTTTGTTGCTATTGTATGTTTCAACAAAATCAAAAGAAATATGGTACTCTATGGAGGATGCAAGGATCCTAATCTCCTAGTAATACTTCTCTAATTCTACCCAAAACAACAAAACAAAAGTCTTAAGATCGTAGGTCACTACATTGGGTGCCTCCAACAAGATATTTTAGTTTTTAGGACTAATGCATTAGTGTGCTATAGTTTTAGTCTTTTTACCTTTTTAGGTTTTAGTTATACACCTAGACTTCACCATGGGGACGATCTTATCCTTAACATTAGGGAGTCTAGTCCTTTTAGTTTAGAAAATGTTTTTAGCATTTTTAGTAGAACTCCTCTAAGGATGCACTTCCCATCTATATCATATACTATTGCCTCTCATGTTTATGTTTTTATTGGTCATGATGAAGAGCCTCTTGATTTGAGGTCAAGTCCTTTTCAAGAGGGAGGGGATGATGGAATCACATTAAGGCCAAGAAGACTAAGAGGTGATATTTTGAAAGAGGCAAGAGGAATGGGATAGTTTTGAAAATCCTAAGAGGAGTAGGCCTACTTTTGGGCCTTAGCTCCTACGTTTTTATTAGCATAAAATTTATTCCTATTTTGCCCTTATCTTTTGTATTTCCCATTTTACTCTTGTATTATGGGGTGCTTTAGATTATAGGTTTTTAATTTTGGGCTAAGGTATTTAATTAGGGAGTTAGACATATTTTTGGTGGTGTTTGGACCTATTTTTGGACTTAGAAAGACTTAGGCCCAAGTGGAGGGCAAAGGTTGCATGGTCTTATCATGCACCTAGATATAGCCAAACTAAACCCAAAGATTCCATCCTTGGCCACCAAGTTGCATCTAGGGTTCATTTGCATTTCATTTGGAATGCATTTGCCTACTCCAAATGCAACCCTAGATGCCTCCCCTCCTATAAATACCCAACACCCCACACCTTGTAAATACTTTGGATATTGAATATAAAGAGAGCCTTTTGTGCCTTTATATCTTTCCTTAGTCACCCTTGGCTAATTCGGCCACCTCCCCCCCATCTCCACCTTGAGAGAAACAACCCTAGAAGTGACCTTCATCATCATGAAGTGAGCCAACCCTAGAGTACCCTTCTCAAGCATTTCCTCAAACACCTTCTACCCAACCTCCACTTTCGTCCATTCCATCATCATCCACCCTAAAACCTTGTGCCACCTTTGAAGAACTTGATCCTTGGAGAAGGCGTCCTATTCTTTGTTGATCATCTCAAGTTCATGCAAGTAAGGATGCCATCATGTGAACCCTTTTACCAATGTTGAAAAATTTATTTTCTTAGTTTATTTACATTATTATATATGTGTTAGGGATAGTAAGGGTGTCACAATTCACAAAATCGCGATCTGCTCAATTCTTCCTCCTCAATTACACACAAACACATTTGAGAGTTCCAAAATGCAATCCAATCTGTCATTTGATCATTCTATACTCAATAAACATCATTACAACATTAAATTATCAAGACTCGT